ATTTACGATCTTTTCGTTGACTATGATATTGCAAATTTAAATGTAGATCATTTTCGGTGTCGTTAATGATTGATATGACTTACGAAGAAAAATTCGAAACCGAGTAAAATCGAAATGATTTTCCATTGATCAAAGTTTCCCACTGACGACGACGAAAACGAAGATGACGATCCACCTCGTTATCGTCCGTTTTAATTAACGTTGAGATTGAAAATCTGTTACGCTGGCGTTAGATGATGGCACGTCGTCGTTCGGGCACGTCCTTTGCTCGCGTCTCTTTCTCTCTCCCTCTCTCTCTTGCTTACTCTATCTTTCTCTCTCTTTCATCGTTGATCAAAGAGGTGTCGCTAATCCAAGAGCTCGAGCGTGCGCAGATTGAACGATACACATACTTCGTATCGACCTACTCGATCTAGCGACTCTATTTCTCTCTCTCTCTCTCTCTCTCTCTCTCTGTCTCTGTTTTTCTCTGTCTTTCTCTCCCTTTCCGTAGGTAGAGAAGCTCAAGTTCTATCAAATTTTCTGATCGCCAATTTTCTTCTTTGAAAAGACATTTTCCAGCATTCCTCAATGATTTACGTTTGACTTATTTTCGATATAATTGTCAATCATATAATGAGAAAATTAAAACGTATTGTTTCAAGAGAAGAGTTCTTGGTCACTTCACAAAGAAAGAATTGCTTTTAAATGAACACCGTATTGCTTTTACGTTACATTCTAATTTCTTTCCCAACATAGCCTTCCTTTATTGCCGCCCTTTATTGCCACCCTTCGATTCGTTCACGATCGAAACGAATCCGCGGTAGCAAAATGTACTCGTATCGGTGCTGAAATGTTTTAGCGTGAAAAAGGGAAAGATACAAGAAAAAGAAAGGAAGAAACAAAAAATAGAAACGTTATGGTTTCGTCGGAGAATCTTTTCTCTCTCTCTCTCTCTCTCTCTCTCTCTCTATATATATATATATATATATATATATATATCCCCCCTCTCTCTCTCTTTCCATCTATCTTTCTCTTTCTTTTTCTCCTTCTTTTCCTATCTCCATTTTTGTCTTTATCTATCTCACACGTGAATGGAAAGAACTGGTTGCAGGTGGTATCATGCTCTCTAACCATCGCGGGATACGATAAACGAGGTGGGCGAAGCTGCCGGTACTGCTGATATAAAATTCGAAATTTTCCTTGTGGTACGTAGAAATCGGTAACGTGGCTTCCCCCGTATTATTTTACCACCCTTTTCGTAGGCATACCACCCTTCGCTCTACCAATAACCGTTCGACCTTAACAATCGCTATATCCATACCGAAACTTTACGCGCGAGCTGCGTCATGTGGTTTCGCAGAGAAAGAGAAAGAAGAAGGAATAGAGGGAGAGAGGGAGAGAGAGAGAGAGAGAGAGACAGATAGGCAGGTAGACAGATAGACAGATAAAGAGAAAGAGAGAAAAGGAAAGAGAGAGAGAAAGGATCGAACAAAAAAAAGAAAGTTAAGAAATAAAGGAAAAAGAAAAGTAAAGTATATGCAAGGAACTTCTTTTCTGTCGTTTCCCGAGATCCCGAAGGAGATCCAAGTATCGTAGAGAGAAACAGAGAGAGAGAGAGAGCGAGAAAGAGAGAGAAAGAAAGAGGGAGAGAGAGAGAGAGAGAAGAAAAGACAGAGGGTAGGAATTGGAGCGAAAATTGTACCAAAGACGAAGAATCCTTTTCTTCTTCATCTTCTTCTTCTTCTTATTCTTTTTCTCTTTTTTCTTCTTCTTTTTCTTCTTCTTCATCTTTCTCTTTTCTCAACATTTTTTCTTGAAATAAAAGTAAAATAAAAGTAGAATTTAGACCATTCCTTTTCTCCTCTTGACACTTCTTACCATTTTTTATTTCTATGTACCTTTCGGTCTCTCTCGGTCATTCATATTAAGTATTTTTATCATTGTTACATATATAATGAACTATAATATATAATGTATTATATATTACTTTTGTACCTATGTCTTGTCCTTTCTCTCTCTCTCTCTCTCTCTCTCTCTCTCTCATTCTCTTTCTATCTCTAAAGTATTAATCAAATAAAATAAACAGAGATAAAGTATAATTCAAATTTATATTATATGAATAAGTTTACTCAGATATATGTAAAAAAAAAAAGTAAGGATAAAATAATTATTAAAACTAGGTCAAATTATATCAAATTTTTATCTCTTTTCTTTTGAATTTATTTAACTCTTGTATAAGTTTTATTATAAGCATATGAATGGATCTTTTTTTTCTACCTTTTCTTTCTCTTTTTCTCTTTTCCTATTTCTTTTCCTTTAAGCATTCTTTTTCTTCAAAAGTAAGATGTACTTAAGAGTACACGCTGAGCGTAGATAAGATCTAAGAAGTAACGAGTGGACGAGTTTAACGACTTCTAATAAGATCGTTGCTACAAGTTAAAAGACGAGTAAGCCGGTAGTATCTACGGTGGTTGTACTCTTAATAATGGACAGTTCAATTATCTCTCTCTACATTCTCTCTTTCTCTTTCTCTCTCTCTCTTTTTTTTTTTATCATCACTCATATAATAGTTTACGCTATAGAAACTTTTATTATTTCTCTTTTTCTCTCTCTCCCTCTTTCTTTTTTATGTAAATTTATTGTATAATGCGATAAAAAAAATGTTTTCGACGAATTTGCAAATTCATTAATCCTATCTCGATATTCATTGAAATGTATGAAATCATTCAAAAATACGAAGTTAAAAATCAAAATTCATTTTCTCCCATTTACTACTACTATATATACATCTTACAATTTGAATCCTAGAAACGAGCAAAGCAGAAAGCTCGTAAACTTTTTTCCTCTATCCACTACCAGCACGGATTAATAATATCGACACTCAAAGCTACTTTAATTAGGAATTTTCTTAAATTTCTTCTCATTTCCTACGCAAGGAGGAACAGAATATTTGAATAATTCGACCGACGAAAATAGCGTTAAGTAGAATGAATTTCTCAACTACGATTAAAATTTTACAAGATCCTCGAAGGAAATGTTCTCGTTGAGAAGTAATGAGATCGATTTTTACCGTGAGAACGTCGTGGCTTATATAGGATGCTTTTTCGTTCAATCTTCGATATTTTTGTAAAGTCCAGAAAAAAAAAAATAAATAAATAAAGACAGGAAGTAAAATTTGTCATTCAAAACGATTAAATATTTTGATAGTATCGTTAAAGATTGATTTCTTTGATTTTTTTTTATTTTCATCGTAAAAAATTACAATTATTTAGAAAAAAAGTATTGTTTAAAAAAGATCACTATTGCATAGAGAATACTTGTGAATGACAATAAAATTCTCATTAACGCTGCAATATCTTTTTTCTTGAATATCATTACTACAAAGGTTTGTCTCTATTTCTAAATACACATTACAAATTCACTACAAAATTCACTAAAAATTCATTCTTCGTAAAACTAACAATAGGAATTCATTTCATTGAATAATTTTATCTGTGGGATATTCGAGTAAAGATTGATATATATATATATATATATATATATATATATATATATATATACATTGATACAATTAAAATAGTCAATTTACTTTAATAGACATTTAATAATACATATTTCATAAAATATGAATTATTACAATAGATGTATATTATATTTTATACATTGGTAAAAGAAAATAATAAGATTTAATAAGAAATATTACCAAGAAAATTTTCTCAATGTTCTTTTATTAAACAAGCGTATCTGGCACTTTGTTATCGCAGGAAAGTCACGTTTCGATGTTCCGCGAAGATTCGCTTAAGTTCATTAACGTAAATTAGAAGATATTTCCAAAAGAGATGACAACTCATCCCTACCCCATATCCTCTTCGAAAGGGTATAAGAAGGAATGAAGGAATGAGATCTTCTCGAAGTACTCTTATCGTAGATTTTACACGTCGTTACGTTCTATGAATATGTCGTGGCAAGTCGTGTACAGAGTTTAAGATGGATAGTTCCTTGCGAATCTAAATCCTTCATCTCTTTATATTCTCTAGGAGCCATCCCTGAAAGGTCCTAACGAAAATTCAAGTTAAGTTCGAAGGAAACGTATTCGTCTAAGTATATAAAAGAGAGGTTCTTTTCTAATGGTTCATAAATGAAATGAAATACGGGATATCGTTCTATATAACGTAACATTGAAATGCTAAATTATTGAAAGTAATTACTGTTGTAATTAAATATCAGTCATTAGTAGAATTCGGTAAAAATGCATGGGAATTAATGGTTGCGGTTTGAATACGCCATGTATCCGAGAAATAATCGCAGTAGAACGTTTAAAAATTTTAAATATGTCGTATAATAAAATCAGAACATTTCTTTTTAATTTACACAAGAGCAAATTGCGTGTTAAGCATTCTTCACTGTAATATCCTATAAACGTATTATATTTTGCATCAAATTGATTTCATGTAATTACATTCGTATGAGATAAAACAAATTAAAAAAATTAAATACAATAATAATAATAATAATAATAATAATAATAACGAAGAAATAATATTAATAAACAAATAAATAAATAGTAGTAATATCGGTTTGTATCGATTGATTGTTTGCAATGAATTGGTCTTATACCGTAGTAAAAAATAAATAGAACATCAAGTATGTGTACGTTAATACATATATATATAATACGTAAACGGAACTCGCGTTCATCGGCACGCTACCTCCGAAAATAAAAGTTCGAAATGAGCGTGGGGCGATTTAGCTGGCCGGCCGGCAGCGCTGCGTCCTCGAAACGTTCCCGATTTAATTTTAGAAATCCTCCCCGCCTTCACCCTTGCGACCTTAGTTCTATCGCGATGCCGAAACACCACGGACGCGAATTCGTCGGAAGATAAAAATTTTCTTTCATTTATTCCATGTGTTTATGCCATGTGTTTTAAGAACAAGAAAAAAGAAAGAAGAAACAAGAAAGAGGAAAAGAAAAGAATAAATTGAAAGCAAGAAAAAAGATTGGAAAAAGGTGAGAGAAAAAGGGGAAAAAAAAAAAGAAAAGAACTGCGAAAGCGAAGAAACCAATGAAAGGAATCCTTTTATTTTCTTTTTCACGAACTTTCAAGAAATATTCAATAATAAAGGATTTCGTATGAGCTTTCTTCCCAAAGTAAAAGAATTAAACGTTGTTTTAGACGTTGCGACGCGATGGCGTCGCTCGCGAACTTCGCATCATAAACTTTGGAACGATCGAAAATTTTCCAAGAATATTCTATATACTCCACGACTCTAACGTTCTTTCCTCATTTCATCGTGTAATTTTCTCATCGTGATTGTGTGGTGAGAGGTAAAAGGGAAAGGGGCGGGATTTTTCTCGCGTAAAATGTTTTTCCCCGTTGTTGCCGATGGAAAAGGAAGGAAATCGAAAATAGAACATGATACGCAAATGAAAACATTAGCATCTGGCGAAATTTTCTCAATGAAATTACTTACTGACGTTTTCTGTATACGTATTTGTGCATGAGTGTGTGTGTATATATATATATATATATATATGTGTGTGTACGATAGTGCATGTGTGTGTGAGAGAAAGAGAGAGAGAGAGAGAGAGAGAGAGAGAATAAGAGAAAGAGAAAGGGAAAACAAAGATAAAGGTGCAAACAAGCGACAGTTGATTAAGAAAGACGTGTTATACCAAGATGAAACTTCTTGATAGTATTCTTGTTCTTGATAAAAAAAAGAGAAACTTTCTGTTCTGGAAAGAGCATTGAAATAGAGTTACGTTGACTATGATGAAAATTAAACATAAAGAAAATGAAAAAGACAAAGAGAAATAAAAATAGATGCATTAATTAATGTAAGTTCAAATATTTCCGATGCAGTATTGTTTTAAAATATAATTGACGTAAGAATTGTAATTAAGAAACAAGGAAAAAGATATTCCTCGTTAAAGAGTAAAGAAGAGAGGAGAGAAAGAGAAAAAGAGAAAAAGAGAGTGGAAGGAGGGGGATGGAACGCGTTTACAAAGGGATTACAATAATTTTTTGAAATATGTGTCGAGTAAGTAATGAAAACTTTGTTATGACAAGAGCGTAGAAGAGGAAAATTTTATCGTTGTTTCTTCATTTTCGACGCAGTCGTCGAATAGCTGAATCTCTTGTGATATCCTAGATTCAACCGAAATAACTAAGTTACTTCGTTGGTATGCATTTCGTTGTAAGAGATCCTTGGATGATGTTGAGAAAATAAGAAAGGATAGATAAACGGTAGAAAATATTTTCAAATTCGTGACATTGTAAATATATATGTATATATATGTATGCATATATATATATATATATATATATATATATATATACCTTTTGAATTGTTTCGGAATTTATTTATTTAAAAAAGAAAAAAAAGAAAAAAGAAAAGAGAAAATTCCAACGCGATTTAAGTTAAGACTTTATCTTTAATATCGGAAAATGCTGCGTAAATATTTCGTAAATTTAGTTTCTCTCAGTTTCTCGTCAATCCTCCTTTCTCATTTTCTCTCGTGCGAGAAATGAGAGGTAGAGAGAAAAGAGGAAGTTTAACGCGAACGTTTTCGAAGTTTGTTAGGCAACGCTTAACGTCATTCCTAAGTTGGAAATTGCATTCGGCTATATTCGGAATACTAGGTATCTGTACTTACTTGCTAGAGTTATCGATGTATGTATACATGACAGACGATATCAAACTCTACCGGAAATTAAAATCGGTATATATTCCGTAATTAGTACGTCATTAGAATTGCGTATTTGGTTCGTTTCTGTTTAGTGGATTTATATCAAGCGACGCATCACTATCTCCATTTTACATTTACATGTATTTAATGCCATCCAGTTAAATATATATATATATATATGTTATAGAAGATAAGTACGATAGGAGAAACATATTTTGACACGTAAAACATTTTAAATATAAATGTGAAACATTTTTTCATAATTTTATATATATATATATATATATATATATATATATATATATGTATATATACACCACATACCAACATACCAATTAAAATATTCTAGAGTGCTCATTTATATGACTTTTAATAATAATTTTTCATTACTTAGTATATAATTACCTAGTAAAATATGTTTCATTTTCCGTTTTGTTACAATTTTATTCTAACACGTTTTATAACATAGACCGTATTAAAAATTTTCAAATTCTTACGAAAGTATTTTATCGGAGAATCGAACGTTGTATAGAAAAGGAAAGAAAGACGATCTTATTTCAACATAGCAGAAAAGAAAGAAAGAAAGAAAGAAAGAAAGAAAGAAAGAAAGAAAGAAAGAAAAAAAAGAAAGAAAGAAAGAAAGAAAGAAAAAAGAAAAGAAAAAAAAGATAAATAAATAGACATTCACGGGTTGGATTTCTAAGAAAGTCCTTTCCGAAGCTCGTAAATGGAGCGTAAATTCGAAGGATGAAGTTATTCGTTGATCGTTTGGAAAGATATCGTTTGTAGGAAGTTTAAGTGTGAGAGAGATAAAGAGATAGATAGATAGATAGATAGATAGAGCGAGCGAGAGAGAGAGATAGAGAGAGATAGAGAGAGAGAGAGAGAGAAAGAGAGAGAGAGAAAGACAGATACAGAAAAAGAAAAAGAGGGGGAGAAAATACATATACATATGCATATACATAGAGATAGTGGACGCGTTTATACGTATTTTAGTTCGAAAATAGAGTAGGCGTTTGAGTGGTGTTCCTCTTCCCCGCGTATGGAGCAACGCATACGTGCGTTCACCCTTGTTTGCACCGTCGCCAAGAATATCGTTGAGAGCAACGTCGTCGAAAGTAACGTCGTCTTCGAAGCACGAGGACGCGCAAACGTTTTCAACTTTTGAACGAACGTGAACGGACGTAGTCTCTTGTGACCTTTTTTCTTACAACGACGGCAACGTCAAAGTCGTGACATCGAGTGTGATTTTCATTTGATTTTTCGTTCACGTTATCATGACTCTTTCTGTGAAATTGATATAAAAAGAAAAAAAAAAAATAGAAAAAAGAAAAAAGAGAGAAAACGAAAAAAAAAGAAAAATTACAAGAAGGAAGTGATGAAAAAATAAGAAAGTACAAATAATAGACGTACAAACAAATGGATTTTGTTGATTGTTCAGTGAAAAAGACATAGAATGATGATAAATATGAAAAAAAGTGTTTCGATTTCATCGTAATAAATTCTGCAATTGAAATTTTGAATTAATAAGAAAATCGAAATGAAACGCAAATGAAAAATGAATTATGAGAAATGAGGTAAATCATCATCATCATCATCATCATCGTCATTATCGACAATAACATTTTCATCATCCAGATCTTAGTGAGTTCTTCTAAATTTCAATCCCATAAGAGAGAGAGAGAGAGAGACAGTATTAGAGTGACATCCGGTGTTCCGGAAACGAAAAGGTTCTAGATTCTAATAATAAAGATACTTTTATTTCGTTCGTCAACCATTCGTAGAAGTTATCGTGTTAACGTTGATACGAAGTGAATTGTGACTTAATCTGATTTTATCATCAGTCCAACGTGAATTTTACTTCATATTGATAAAATACGATTAATCCAAAATAATTTAACATTATTATATAAATTTTTATCATTGATTTTTAATAAAAACGATCATGATTGTTTTTAATTTTATTTTCATTTTGATATATTATTAGATATTAACGTTGGAAATAAAGTTTGCAAAAGAAATTATTAATTAAAAAAAAAAAATATATATATATACGATTTTTAATAAAAAATTAAAAATAAAAAAACATTTCTATTTCGATAAGACGAAAATTAACGATCGATTTAAGATCGATTGATTTCGATCAGTATCGTGCAATTCAATGCTAATTTTATAATCGGTGGACGAATTAAAAGAGAAATTGTTAAAACAAATGTCGAAGATGCTTCGTTTGGAGTTGCTTGGTGTTGTGCTTCTCGCTTGCACACAAATTCTCACAGAACATCGTGACTCACGTGAAACTCGTGCACCTTACATCAATTATCCGAGGTATCATCAAGAAAGCTTGGAACCCGTGACGAAAGATGTTAAAATAAAACATGGTCGATTACGTGGGACCGTAGTCAAACCGAGAACCAATCACGATCTTCAGTTAGTCGACGTTTTCCTCGGTAAGTAAGTAATTGCATGCATCAAATTGAAATTCTCATTTCAATTAAACATTTTTATTCAAACAATTCAACAATTCTATTTTGTATCAATTTAATGTTCAATGCCTATATATATATATATATATATATATATATATATATATATATATATATATATATATATATTTCATTAATCACTTTATACAATATATATTTCATAATATCAGGCTTTGACAAAGCTAATAAATAATCTCTGATTTTTATAATACTTATTATTATAAAAATATTAATAATTATATGACAATATCGTGAATAAATATATACGTGTACGTGTGTTTGTGTGTATATGTGCACATAACTATATTATCATAAAATAGTAAGTTATTTATTATTTTGCGATATCGAATTTTAAAGGTAGATTCTGTCTGATTCTCTTCAATGTATCTATCAGCATATATAAAAGTTCTTTTAAACTCGACAATATCCTTGAAAGCAGTACATCCTTGTACATAGCTATAGCAATCGAGATCGCGTTCTGCTTATCGTATATAACGGAAACTAGAAGGAACAGCACCGTTTCCCATCGTGAAAGGACGATATATTCTGTGAACCGTGTTGATACGAACATAGCTTGGTACGTCGCAAAGCCGTTCGTCATTGATGGAATATTCACAATTTGAATACCAGACCCTTTGAATAGATGAGATCGAGATCCTCTGAAAATCGGTAAACGTTTAAATCGTCGACCTCTTTGAAACATCACCATCAGAGAAGTCTTCGTCCAGTTTTATTAATCGTTCGTTAAAATAAATACGACATTTCCCACAGAAAATGTTATCTCTTTTTTATTCACATTATAAAAATAATTAATTAAAGTTTCATTGAATTTTTACACTTAATCGATTTTTTTTATTTTATTTTAAATAATGATATTCTGTAAATTGTTATTATATAATAATAATAATATATATATATATATATATATATATATATATATATTTAAATAAACGTTGCTCTTACGAAAAATGAAAAATAGAGAGAATAGGTTCGAAGACGTCTTCGTTCGAACACTATGTTTCAGTGACTACACTCGATAATTACGTTTCAATAATCAAACTCGACGCTTAATATGTATGAATGTATGTCAAAAAAAAAAAAAAAAGGAAAACGAACAAAACAGTTACGAGCAAGAACATATAATGAATTATACGCAGTATACGTTTATGTTATCACGGTCTCTTATTAGGATAGAATTGATTTAAAAGAAAAGAAAAGAAAAAATAAAAAAAATCAAAACAAATACATTAAGTACGGGCGATTTAAATACAATCGTAAGCACTATCGTATTATCTTTGTCAATAAGTTTTTGTTCTTACTACTCAATCGTTATTTATAAACTCAATATAAATGAATGAATAGATCTGTTGATTCTGCCTGTCTATGTGAGTTCAACGTAACGATTAAATCGTTGAAGTAAAAAAGAAGAAAGTATTTCTGATGCTCTTTGAAATTCTACGAAAGCTTCTTGAGAGAAGGATGGAAGTAAAATTCGGCTGGGTTAGAGGATCGTAATAGTGGAGTTTCGCAACATAGTTCTCTCTTTCTATCCCTCTCTCTCTCTCTCTCTCTCTCTCTCTCTCTCTTTCTCTATCTTTTAGCAATCAGGATCTCTCTCCGATGGGATTCGATACGCCGTTAAAGAGAACTTCGTTCGAAAGGCGAAACTTTCCACGAGCGACCTCCCGCGTTTGATCAACGTATCCGCACGGCTTTGAGAATCCTGATACGTCGAAGGATCCAAAAGAAGAAGCGTCCTGGGTGTTTCGGGAATAGATACTCTCTGTTTCCATCTTCTTGTATACCTCTCTCTCTATCTCTCTCTTTCTCTTTCTCTCTCTCTCTCTCTCTCTCTCTGTCTTTCTCTCTGTCTTTCTCTCTGTCTTTCTCTCTTTTTCTCCCTCTTAAAAGAGAGTTCTTTGCTAACGTATACCCGAGTAAATGCTTTTAAAAGTGCCACCCACGTTTCCGAAACTTCAACAAAAGTTTCATCCTATGCGAAATCTATATAACTTTTTTCTAGTGAAAATTTTTCATTTCAAAAGAGAATCAAATCTATGACGTCCCAGAGGTACCATTGTATATTTTGCCGCGAGACACAGAGCAAAAGTTTTGAACGAGATGAAATTGAACGAAAATCATTGTACTAAAATCGTCGTTTTGGTTATTGTAAAAAAAAAAAAGAAAAAAAAAAAGAAAAAAAAAATAGAAACTCTTCGGTATTTTTAAATTTAAAAAAAAATTCTTTTTTCTTTTCTTTTTTTTTTTTTTTTTTTTTTAATTTCAATCTATCATTATTCGGATATAATCATATTAATATGAAATTAAAGTGAATAAATAAGTAAATTATGTGTGAATAATCATAGATATAACGCTATACAATTAAACGATAATGCAATATCATAAAATGTTCATAAGAATATGTATTATACATATATATGTATATATGTATATATATATATATGTATGTGTGTGTGTATGTGGGTGTGTATATACGTGTATACATATATAGGTACGCAAGAGATAATTAAATATTTTATTTTATGTAAATATATATGTACCTATGTGAATACTCGCATGCTAAGTGCCAACGTATATAATGATAATGTAAAAACTTTCTGTTACCATACCGCAAAGCTAATTATGCAGGAAATAATTACGATGATATAAATATTAATCGATATTGTCTCACACAAGGGAATTTCACAATTACTGTTAACTCATCGACAAGAAAGATGAGAATTATTCTGCATTTCGAAATGTCTATTCTATCGAACGACTTTTACAAAGGAAATAGTTACGGTTGAAGTTACGCGCGTGTTTTAAACGCCTCACTTGAACGGACGTGCATTCGTGGCCGTTTTTAATTTCCCGAGTGAATTTGAAGTTCCGATGGAAAATACTTCAACTTTCACAAACAACGAAAACTCTCCTATCACCAAAGTGAATTTCGCAAAAGCATGATCTATTGCGAATCTCCATTCGTTGTAGGTAAAGTTGGGTGACTCGAATCCAAATACAATATGTTTTTTAAAAGTATGTATATAAGTTTGTAAACTGAATCGGTTTATTTATTATATATATATATATATATATATATATATATATATATATTATATATTATATATTATATATATATATATATTAAAAATAAACATATAAATCGACGTAATAATATTCAAATATTCAATCTATTTTGTATGAATGGTTTTACTCTTTTTACTTTCAATTTCAATATTTTTTTACAATTTTTCTTTATCTCTTTAGGAAAGAATTTACTATAATATATTTTTATTTTTATACCAAATGACTATTACTAATATATCAAACGAACTTCATAATATTACGTAATATTTGCTTCAATTATTTTTGAAACATCTGTTCAACATAATTTATATTCAAACAAGAAATATTAAAAAAAAAAAAAATATATATATATATATACCTTTCTACTCTCATGTAATTTCGAAACAATTAAAAGTGAAACATTTCGAAGAGATTATTTTTATTTTTCAATGAAAATACGAGTCCCACGGGTACATGTAATTTCAAGCGAATAATCAAGTTCGTTTACCTTTATTTGCTTTTTGTATTACGTGGCAACAAAACGAAGTAGCAGATATTTATTTGCCGGTAAATCACGAAGTAACGACGCCTCCGGCTGGCCATTATTCAAACGTGTCCGAATTCTGCCACAGAGCAGCTCTTCGCAGTGCATTGAGACATGAAAAATTCATCGTCACGATAAAGTCCGTTTGCTGGTCGATCTATCGATCGGAGGACAAATAAGTACAAACGCTCAAGCCTGTGAACGAGCTTTCGGATTTGATGTTGCGTGCAAACAAGAGTGTCTACGCGTTATATCCTATTTTCTCTTTTTTTTCTTTGCTAGAAGAGAGAACTAAAGAAAGATAGATATATAGATAAATAGATAAATAGAGAGAGAAAGAGAGAGAGAGAGAGAGAGAGAGAGAAAAGAACGTTTTCAAAGTGAAAGAACGATTATCACATTGCACGTTCATTCGTTCTTTCTCTGAGCTATTTTCAACTGTAAATCCGGTAACGACGATCCATACGAAAAAATTTATCATCGTTATATAGGAAAGGCTATATCACGTATCTCGAATGAAATTTACTAGACACTGTCAAGGATCTTTTATATATAAAGATCAAAGAAAGTATCGTATTATTTGATTTTGATCGGTCGATAATAAAAATCATTTAATTTGATATTAAATTAAGGATAGGATAAAAAAATAGATATATCTTTTCTATTCTTTCAAGATATTTTTAATTTATACGTAATAATAATTATTCATATAAATGAAGCGGAATATTTTCTATCTCAGGAATATAAAAAAGTCGTATCAACTGGTGATGGATTATTTATTTTTTGTTTTGTTTTTCCGTAGAACGTACACGAACGAGGGGGGAAACAATTTCGTTCGTTTGAAACACACTTGATCGAGAACGAGGTGTCTACTTTTACTAGGTTTCTAATCGATCAGAGAATACGTTTGAGAACGAATCGAAAAGAAAAATAGATGGATAGACATAGAGGTAGAGATAGAGATAGAAACGGATACAGTGGCAGAGATAGAGATAGAGATAAAGATAGAGATAGAGAAAAAGATAGAGTGAGAGAGAGAGAGAGAGAGAGAGAGAGAGAGAGAGAGAGAGAGAAAGAGAAAGAATCACGAATTAATCGGTTTGATGGGACGTTCGAGAGCAATGCTGACAAATCGACAAGTCGAAAGTGTCGAACTAAATTGTTCAACTATGTTTCAGGAGTCCCATACGCCGAGCCTCCAGTCGGCTCGCTCAGGTTCACGCCACCGAGATCACCGCAACCCTGGAGAGGAGTACGACAGTCTCTGGAATTTGCTCCGGTTTGCCCGCAAGTACTACCGAATCTTCGTGACGAGGTGAAACCAGCACGCTATGAGTATCTCGAGAGGCACTTGCAGTATCTCAAGAACCAGAGCGAGGATTGTCTCTATCTCAACATCTATGCTCCACATCAGGCAGAAGGTAAGTTTTTTTTTTTTTCATTTCTCTATATTTGAAACATTTCTGGTGGTTTAGAATTTTTGTACGAATTGATCCTATTTTTTTATTTTTTATTTATTTTTTTTTTTTTTTAAGTAGATATTTATCTACATATATTGAACGCGTTATTCTCATATAATCGAAAATGTTACATGTAAAAGTTAGTTGAGCGATATAGAATTAATTTATTTTTGCAGAGTTTTTCCATTGTTTATTATCTTAATCGATTATTCGAGGATTTACTTATCCAACCATTCTTTTCCATATTTTATTAATTCGAATAAAAGAGAATATTTGAGAAATACATTTTTACCTTTTATTCTTTTTTCATTTTTCTTTTTCTTTTTTTTTCTTCTTCTTCTTCTATCTCGTAATCAAAGCATTTATCTTTCATATCTTTTGAATATAAAAATGTTAAGTTTTTGCTTGCCCATATGTATGTATGCGTATAGAAACGCGCTGTGTTTAAAGAAACTAAAGGGTTCGCTTTATTCTGCGTGAAGGAGATAAGAGCTTGTGCATTAATCATAGCTTATAAAACTTTTTCGTAGATTAACTTAATCCTGAATCTATGCGGCCTCGAAAGCGTTGCGATTAATAAAGGTATCTCGAAGCGCACGAAATCTTCTCCCACCATTCTCAAATTCCTATGCCACCTCTCCACCCACACCCTATCATATCGAAGAAGTAATATCAAGCCTCAGATAGTAGCGAATTATTTTCTCGTTTGTAATCGATGAAGCGAAATGCTATGGTATTATGTGGATTAAGTATATATGCCAAGCTGGGAAGTCGGGCATGAAAACGCACGGTTTTGGAACGAAATCCAAAGAAAATCGGTATTATAGCGAATTAATTGAATAACGAGGCGTAAGTAATTAAGATTCATTAGAAAAAAATTTTTTTATTATTAACCATTTGCATCAAAAACGTCATTATTGGAAAATGTTATAAATCGGTGAAGATGAAATTTTTTTTTTTTTATTAAAAAAATTCAATATCTGTTGTGCTCATCTGTATGATATGCCGAGAAATTTTATCCGATGATAATTGAATTAAATTGATTTATCTGTTATCGATAATAGAGTATGAAATGTTTCCTTTTTTAATACCAAACAAAAATTCTTTTAAAATTCTCATAAAGATCGAACAATTCGAAATATTCGAATGAAAATTCTTTTAAGATTCAAATAAATTTTTTATCATAAAATATTTAGAAATTTCTTATTATATTGTTTCGCATTAATTAATACTGCCAGTGCAAATAAGATTTTGCTATTCTAATATTAATTGTTATTCCACGATAACACATGACTTTCCGACAAGACGTAGCCGCCATAGCTGAGAAAGCGCGAGGCACATTTGAATAAAATTTAATGCGCCGTTTTAAACGGAGAAACGCACGAACGTGCTCGACGGGCGTTCTCACGGAGAGAATGCACTTTAGGGTAATTACAACGTACTTTATGCCAACCGCGTTCGACAAAATTTAGAGAGATTTGCCGTAATTATTTCGTGGTTCTTTGCTTGTCCGGTTATTAAAACACGATAAAATATTTATTTCTATTTCATCGGTCGATAAAATTTTCCACATCCTTCTTTTTTTTCTTTTTTATTTTTTTATTGTAATTGTTTTAACATTCTTTTTATTTCTATTTTTTATTTTCACGAATCATTTATCTCTTTTTTATATTTCTTTTTCCGGCCTCGAAAATTTATCTTTTATTACAATATATTTTTTCTACTCCAATTATTTATTTGTACGTTGGCAGTATACCCTTGCACGTATGGTCAACCATTAACGAGTAGGTATTACAGTTATCAACATGGATTTTCCAATATTTAAACCAGTCAGCGTGTTTGTTCCCAGTTCTCTCGGTTGTCATTGCAACATGAAAAAATTTTACATCGAAATATCGACATGTAACGGGTAGTTTTATGGTTGCCGTGTTCATATTCACATGGTTGAGGGATAAGGGTAAAGGGGATCGGTGGAGAATGATCGAAAGAGGGAAATGCATCGAAGCTATGTGGTAGGTGCTCGCCTAGACGAGCTTCATTCGCGATCCCCGTGGTTCGTGGGTCGTACCTTCAAAAGATGAAAAATGCAAAAAAAAAAGAAAGGAAAAAAAAAGATAAAAACGAAAAAAAAAGAAAAAAAAAACAGAGAGGAGGAGATGCTAGTGGCCGCAATAGATACGCCTGTCTACTTCGCGAATCGATTTTCATTTACGTAAAGGGCTCCAGCGAGGTCTCTGGGCTCTGGGCTTTTATCGGTAATTATAGGAAGCATTAAGAGTGTCGATATCGGTAGCTACGCTTTCATTTTTCTCATTCCACTTTGTTCTTTCTTTCTCTTTCTCTCTCTCTCTCTCTCTCTCTCTCTCTCTTTTTCTCTCTCTTTCTCTATCTCTAGGATCCTAAAAGGATCTAATTAAAGGTAGTCTACTGTGGTGAGGCGAATTGCCAATTAGCGGCGAGAGTAGTCTTACGTTCGAATCGAAACTCGTTCTACTCCATTCGTTCGTTCTCTTTCAATCGTTGAAGTATGTCTAATATAAGAGGTCTCCGTCTTTTTCCAAGAAACTTCGTAACCAGTAAAGATAATATTAGACGAACTGTGAGATACGACAACTCGATGTATTTTATATACTTTTGTAAAGAAAGAGAGAAAAAAATTCATCAATATGATAATATATGATATCGGTATTAATATTGAGGTAAAACAAAAATTTTCATCCATGTCCAACACTTTGGGGAAACTATCGGGGAACTTTAAAGAAACAAAACAAAACAAAAAAGAAAAAAAAAAATAGAAAAGAACAAGAAAAGAAAAGAAGAAAAATAACGAAGGAATAAGATACAGCTTAAAGAATCAGCCGGTTATATCTCACGCGCATTTATCGAGCCTCGCCAAGTTGTAGTTCAACCGAGAAATTTTCTTTCTTCCTTTTAAAGCAAGAGAGAGAAAGAAAGAGAGAAAGAGAGAGAGAGAGAGAGAGAGAGGAAGATCTTTCGTTGGAGGAAGACGACTTTCGAAATTGCTAAGATGACGGGATAATTCTGCGTGGAAGAAGATGCAGTTTGGGGAAAGGGGAAGCCTTAGAATAATTTAATTCGACGTCGGTAAACAGAACTCATTCGTCTCTTCCGTCGGAGAGCGAACGTGTGTTCCGTTCGAACGATAAAAGAGAGAAAGAGATAGAAATAGAGAAAAAGAGAAAGAGAGAGAGAGAGAGAGAGAGAGAGAGAGAGAGGAAGAGAGAGAAGGAAGTAAGAGAATCGCGATGAAAGATGCGCTGGCGTTGCAAATAAATTGGAAGTGTCCAGCCACGGGTTAAAGGGGCTGTTTCGCGGAAGATATACGCGCCCTCTTAAATATTGGATGGTGAGCCTTGCTAGGAGAAGATGAAGAAGGAGGGGAAGAAACGTGAGAGAGCTTCGGAGAAGCCGCTTTCCACTTGTTCGAGGCATCTCAGGCGCCCTTCGGAAAATATCGGGAAATTCATTAATACGCGATCTACGGGTGTAACATAGCATCGTATAAATCTTACCATGAGACAGAATTTACAGCATCGTGTAGTTACGCTGTTGGTTCTATATCGTGACGTTATGTGTGTATGCGTTCGAGGGCTGATTTGAACTCTCGTCTTTCTATTTTTCATCTTATTTCTTTTCTCGCCAGGGTTTAACCTTTTGTCGATATAACTCCGTCGATAAATATCGATTACATATCGCTATCGATAGCATCGATATTTCTCAATATTTATCGATGTTATGGGGGATCGTATATACATTGAATATGTGGAAAGTATCCGTAAATATCGATAAGTACGTATAGATATGAATGATAAACTTTTGGTTTATCGAACGATAAAATTGTCGATCTATTATAAAGAATAAATTTCATCTCTTAGTTATCATATAATAGATGTAATATTGACGTAATATAATATACAATATGATACCATTTACTCGTTGAAAATAATAATACCGTGTAATAATTATAATGTAATAATGTAATAAATTATTTCAATATGATTATTACAATGTTAATCCTCTGCATATTCACGCAAATATTATAGTATGCTATAGTAATTTTATAAGAGAGAATATCAATGGTAGTACAGTCGGAGAAAGAGAGAAAATCGTCGAAAGCTCGTGGTCTTTTTCTTAAAACTTTCTTCAAGCACCACTCCGTGTACCGTTTTCGTTTCAAAGATTTTGACCCTTCTATCTCTCTCTCTTTCTCTCACACACTATCTATCTTTATCTCTTTCTCTCTCTCTCTCTCTCTCTCTCTCTTTCTCTTTTCCTGTAGTTCCATTCCTCTCAAAGGATCGCGGAATGAGATCCGTATATCCTTCAAGTTCCCTTCAAGACGAAGATGAAACCACCGTTTTGTGGTAGAATAAAAAGAAAAAAAGAAAAAGCGATGCTATGCGAGAATCGTCTTACGTAATAATAAAAGTTTACATGGCTATTAAAAATCTTGAGAATTTCAATTTGATACGTGCGTGAATGTGTTTGCATGTATCTGTGGATAGATTAATGTACAAATTGTTTTATATGAAAAATAACAAATTACTTTAGTGTCTTCTTTTTCTTCCTATTTTTTTCTTTTCTTTCTTTTTTTTTTTTTTCTGTAAACTCTGGCCCGCATCTCCCCAAGGCCAATATCTAGAATCTAATTAACCACAGATGATGTAGCAAAATGATTGTGGAGTACCTACCTCTGTTACAGAGAACTCGAAATATGCCCACAATTATGGCGATAACATCGGTGCGTGTCGGCATTATTACGTAGCCGCAAAATGTATTTCGACTATTTCGTTCGATGTGTGAACATTATATCCGTGTATGTACATAGAATATACGTACGATTTTGTACAACCGCGATGACGTTTAGCGAAATAACGAAAAGCGTATGGTTAACCCTGCTGACTTTCGGCTACCCAATAACCTACGATACATCTACGCTA